ATATATATATATATAACTGATGAATTGAGACCGCAGCTGTTGCGCTCAATCTGATTATCACATTTGATAATAGTAACACCCACCACATCCGCTCGGTAGCTAGTTGAGGTATGACCTTCAACGGTAAAGTTCGGCTTTGGTGGCCCGACGAATAAAACTCCAAGCTGAGCGACCGCAGCTGTTGCGCTCAATCTGATTATCACATTTGATAATAGTACTTTACACCACATCCGCTCGGTAGCTAGTTGAGGTATGACCTTCAACGGTAAAGTTCGGCTTTGGTGGCCCGACGAATAAAACTCCGAACAAGCTGAGCTGAAGCTAACGGTGGAATCACATGATGCACTCACCGTGTTGCGCTCCACGATCCGCAATTTAAACACATACGCTGTATGGTATGACAAGTTCTCAGAGAAACCTCAGCCGAAATGTCTGAATAGATAAACACGTACTTCTGCTTGATCTACCGGGTATCACAACCCACCCAGTGACGCATTACGTGAAGCGAACAAAAACGCTGACATTGTCCCAAACGACCGGTATTTTACATTGCTTCAGTGTTTGATTGACCCATGTCGATACGTTTACGGTTCGTTTGGGATGAAAAGCTACTCATTAGTGATTTCGGCACGGTTCGGTGAATTCACAATATCGTTTCACAAGTCACACGCCACAGTGTGTGAGATACAGTGTCGTACGCCTAGTTAGTCCCACTTCGTAAGCCAACCAACCATAATTTTCGACTCACGAACGTCTTGAGAGGTTTACTTGATACAATACTACTCACGAGTAACCATTAGCCGCATAACAAGTGCCATGACAGGGGGAATGCTGCGATATTTTGGCTATTGACCTATACATATTGCCCTATTTCAAATGGAACTAAACGCGCACTTGCAGACGAAGATGGTTCTGAATGAAAACAATTGTTTATGATCTTTATCTGGGTGTGTTGCACAAAGACAGCCTCCTGTTTTAGTTGAAAAGACACGAAAAATGTCGCTGTATATTTTTCTGAATTAACGTTACTAAAAGCTGTTCATTCTTCATGTACTCATCAGTCCTCCCTGCTCTATTTGAACACAGACTGTACGCAATTAGCGAAATACGTCCTGACATTACACCGACATGACAACAACTTTTCGGAATTACCTTGTCTGCATCCCATTATGATGTGTAACGGTCGGGAAACTAATCACTGAAAACGCCTGGTCACCTAGCAACTCCAACTCCCAGTGTGAATGCAACCAGTGGTGAAAGAGGTTGGTTGGTTGGTTGAACAACTTTATTCCTCTGAACAAACCACCGCTATCGATTTCACCTTCTGGCGGCGACTAGATTTCGTGCGTCCGTCAGTAGACAGTACAAACCTTATTTGGAAATGGAACAACTTTTGGTCGGTCGTTGGGGCTACCATCCCCCCGCAAAGGATGGTAAACTCTGATCACACATGGTAGCTTTTAGCGCGAATGCGAAGGGGGACGAACTAAAGGAGACTGAATTATTCGTGTGCCCAACAACTGCTGGATGTATAGCATACACAACAGTTTTTGAATTACTTGTCCTGTTGGTTGGATGAATGTTTCATGTGGGAACTCTGACAGTTGATCGTAGTAATCCAACAAATACTTAAGAAAGGCATACCATGGTGGGCTGCAAAAAAGTGCTCGTTGTTACACGCTTCTAGGCAAATGGACAAAAAACAGTGGGTACATGAAATTACATTTATTCACGAAATCTGTGACCTACCAGTGTAATTGACTCGAGACATAGCTGGAGCTACATTTGTGGAAGCGATGTTTAATCCAAAGTCCGCGTATGAACCGGTTGTCAACCCTTTAGACCCTGTTGTGTTTATCGATCTTCGACTGCCCACGCTGAAACCATTGCATCCAGGGGGATGATCAGCTTGGATGGGCCTAGAAAATGGTCCATCACATGTGTTCGCGGGAGATGAGGCCGACAATGGGGGACGTCCTAGTGAAGCAGATTCAACTCGATGTAGCCCGCCGCCGAGATGTAGGGTTCCATTGGGCGAATCTAGTGGACCAATACTCGAGAAGTCGTGACGCATCGCTTCAGTGCGTAGGCTGCCAAACTGGGGCGTGATTGGATCCATTGAACCACCGTAGGACCTCACGTTGCCATTTGTTCTTTGGTTTGCCGGACCAAATCCAGGCAGTGAATCTTCATAGAAAGGGGATGTCAAACCGGCTGTATACGATGTCATGGTAGAGTGCATGTTTCCAACGAATGAGCCTCCGCTACCGGATGAAGGTCCATGCAACTCAGTCAAATGCACAGAGCTGGAAAGTGGCCTTCTTTGATGTCCTGACCTACTTTTGTTGGACGAGACCCAGTGGAGCAGTGAGTAAGGAGATCGACCGGACCATCGATTTGTTTCCCGCCAAGTTTTACCTTCGCTTCTACCAGATTCCGTTTGTCTTTTTCTATAAGCAAACACGAACATGCAAAGCAAGGCAAGTACAACAAGGAAAACCGCAACGGTCACGATTGCAATCAAAACGGATGGGTTCGAATGCTTGACAAATGGCGGTTGGCCCCCGGGTCGAACAGGCACCATCTGTGACGGTTCAAGGCCAACTATTGTAGGTTCAGACTGGTCAGAAGAGGACTTGTCAAGTGCATCAGACTGACGCTTCCCGTGCACGTTGGATAGCCAACCTTGAAAAAGATGAATAAAAGGGGAAGGAATATGGTGAATTTTGTTATCATCATCATCATCATCATCGACAACGTGACATCAGTGTTCAACACCGATGCTTCACTGCCGTACAACCATAATTTATTTAAAGGTATTGTAAAGAAAAGAGTAAATGTGGACAGGGAAGGGACTTAGTGATAGCTTAACACAATCATTCCGAGGTGCCTACACCTCCAGACATTCACTCAGGCAATCTGGATAGAAACTGACAACAAGAACGCCACTGACATCGGTTGGCAGTCATATATTGTAGTGTCTCCAACCAGGCACAGTGAGAATCACGCGGTCCCCATCCTGGCAGGCGAGTAGCACCGACAGCACCCAAGCGTTTCTTGATCTCCTTCGTACTCTCCTGCCAAGTCAAGGGTTGGCCACCTCTATGTTTACGCCACTCTGAATTGGGCATGGAAAACAGCACTCTCTTCAGCAAACGGTGGTTCTGCATACGTAACACATTTCCCAACCAACGCAGCTTTTGGTGCTGGACACATTCTTCAATGGAAGTACCCGTTGCACAACCGAAAACGCGCTTTCTAACTGCCTCATTACGGATTTGCTGACACCAACCCACACGAGCTATGGTTCTGAGACAACGATTATCGACTTATCAGCGTATCCGCCTGGCTTTTCATTCTTTACTTTAAATTAGTAACCCAATGTCTTACCGCAAACCGGGAGACCCATGACCTTTCACGCTGCTGCATAGGTTTAGACAACTCGATATAAAATCCTTCCAGACTGTCTTGTAGCTATGGCCTGAATGAGTAGCACAGGAACCTACTTGGTCGAGGACCAGTGACTCTTCCAAGTGGATACAAATCAAGTTAAGTGAAACGGGATGCTAAGAATCTTGGCAGAAAGGGTTCATTCATTGGTAATTGATCATGTGGCCTAGCGTGGCAACGACCTGGTTTCGAGGAGACATCATCAGTACGCTACACCCACCAGCGTACTGGTGATGTCTCCTCGAATAGTGACAGGAACGTTTGCAAGTCAGCCAGCTGTTAGAATAGATCGGCAGCCACCTGATCAACAATCAATGCTAGGAATCGTGCGCCAGAACACTGAGCTCCGAAATTATGGAATTATACCGCCTACTAGCCGGCTGTTCAGTTATCACAACAACCGCATGCTTTGTACTGCCTTTCAACGGCGGTGAGTTAAGGAAGGCCTTAGAACAGGCACACAACGATAGAGGAACTCGCTCCGGTCAATGTAACATTCATATTATATTGGTCCCGCCAGCTCTGACTTTCCCCGTCACGATTTGACACAAGAACGACCAACCTGCTCCACTTTGTAAAACGAAAAAACGTTCATTTGAGCAAGTTGGTTGACAGCAGCTCCGTACAGTGGTGTGGGTTAGAAATGGATGTAGCCAAATTTGGGTCCAAGTGAACTTTATTTAGGCTTAACTTTGTTACATCCTTGTGGGTGGAGTGGTCGCAGTCAGTCAATTATGTACAGGTTGTTATTTCCAAAAATTTCGTGTGCTGGTCACATGGAGTGAGCAGCAGCCACATTGTTTAGGCTCATCCAAGGTTGAAATGACAGGTAATTTGAACGAAATGACGCAATAATTCTTACTAGTTTGCAGCAAATGCACGTATGTTTTTGAGTCAACTGGAAAAGCAGCACTCATTGCCGCAACTATCGTACGTTAGTACGAGTTGAGGAAAGTGAAATCTCACATAAAAACTCATGTTTTGACATTGTGCGGTCTCTTAAGTACCAACCGAGCTTGATGGGGGGTATCAGGAAGGTCAAACTCCTCAAATCAACTTTTGAACGCCCCGAACCTACTGCTCCACCAAAAGCTCAACTGGAAAGCCGGCAAGCATCCAGGCCAGTCAATCATTCGATCAATTCAGTAAAACCTGATGAGTGTTCTCTGCGCCACAGAAGCACGACCGAATGTGATCAGCGTTCAGGCTTTTCACAGAGGCACGGTCGATGTTGATGGGTGATCACTAACGCCTATCAGACAGCCTGGACCAATGTCAGAAAGTCCCCTTTAAATAGCGTGGGGCCGTTGTAACTTTTGCACTCGCACTCGCTCTCTCACTCACTCGCTTGTTCGGAATACAGCTGTTGTGTTCCCTTCTGTGAGTCTTTTCTCACCGACACTAGGCACTGGAACGGGTCAGCAGCAGATACCACAGATTGACGAATCAGGAGATATAACAAGGGGATTTTGAAAGTCCAATAGGGTTTTCATCCTGCAAGTGGAGCTAGTCCATGCTAGGAAACTCAGAAGCGCTGTTTAGCTGTTTCATTCTTGTTGAGAGGTAGATTCGAAACCATGATTATCCTGCTAACATTTGCACACTCTGCCTGGGTTGTCACGCGGGTTTGCTCAATAGTGAGGCTAACTCGAGCTTAGACAGAGTACAGCCATCAATGATCCTCCAATCACAGAATTCAAATCATGTGGTCACGTGTTCGATTCCTTAGATGGAGGGCTAGTGTTCAGGACTCATATATGGGCCTTAACAAGCAGACCATCTCACTGTGGTATGTTCCAACATGACCATTCAACAAAACAATGATGGCTTCACCTAAATTGCTGATTAAACTTGTGCAGTAAAACTGTCATGCTCAACAAACAACCCAGCTATTGCGGTTTGGTCAACCTAAGTGGCAAACTCATTGTTATCGTTTGAGTGAGCCGTCCTTTTGTTGGTCAGCATCACGGTGATCTTTCGACGTAACATTTGTTCACTTGTGTCCACTACCGTTCTGCTGGTCCGTTCTGGCTGTGCTTTGATTGGGCTGTACGTCTCTTGCCGGTGATGGCGCGTTGATCTGGTCGGTTAGTCGATTGCAGTTGCCGTTTGGTATCAAGCTTCTAAGAGTTCTATTCCCTGTCCCCGCGTACCAAGATATCGTCATTCTGGTTGAATTTTCGTCCTTCTTGATCCTAGTGTTTGGGAACAAGCGATGGCGAGATGGACCAAGTGGTAAGAGCGCAAATTTACTGACCGGAAGGTCCGTGGTTCGAACGCGACCTCTGCCTCTCGACTTCCCCTGTCTAGGCCTGGGCAACCTGGCAGTATCCCAGCCCTCGTGCTTCCCTCGAGTGGTATGGCAGTGAAAGGCACTGAAAGTGTGTTACAGCTGAACGAACGATGGCGGACTATGTTCACTTAGAGCATCCATTTAGACATAACAGTGTCATCGCACTCTATTCGAATATTTTCCCACGTGGAACTGCCTTCTTGTCAAATTTGTTCTTCGGCGTTGAAATCACCACCTCAAAGTTGCTTTGGACTTGTGAGTTGAAAAATTCTCTCACCGATTGCAGTGTCGATCAATAAAATTCGTCTCGTCTCCGGATAAGTCGTTAGTCACTCATCATCCATATTACAAAGGTAAAAAACATACTGTTGTGTATCAGTGAGTCTTCCAAAAACGGTCTTTTTTTCTGACCACCGATTAGATTGCGTCTACTCTACACTAATAAACCAATTCAAAACGCATTTGGTTAGCGAGAATCCTACAAAATATCACAGTGTCCACTTTGAGTTGAGGTATCTTCTTGATCGGTCTTTTGTTTGATGTTATTGTTGTTCTAGCTGGCCTTTTGTGTTTCACTTCGGTTTTCAAGAGCGATATCCAAGAAACCTGCTGCGCTTACAAAGTATAAACCGCAGTTGCTTGAGAGGATGGTCAACGAATTGGGAAGTTTGTGATTTTCGCAAAAAAAAACACGAAAACGCTGTGAAAAAAAGCAAAATAAGCGGTTTTGAAGCAACCGGCCAACGAGCGGAGTGTCAAAAACAAAAAATTAAGTTGGAGAATGGTGCTGGATAGCAGACTGAATGGGTTCATTGTAAATTGCCCAAGGAGGGATAGATCAAGAAATCACAAAACCACTCTCGCAATATAAACGAACAGGATTGTGTAGTCCTGGGACACATAAGAAACGCCAGAGGTACGTCTAGTTAAAGCCATCTAAAAGCTTAAGAACGTTTTGAATGGTAACGGAGGATCTGAGTGGACCCAGCAACAGCAGTTGCAGTCCACGATGCCGATGCTTATGAAGAATAGAAACAAGACCCTGTAAAAGAACAGGACGTCCTCGAAAAGCTAAGGAAAGGTAAACCACTCACAAGATCGATAGAAGACAAGCGTGAATCAGTGCTAGTCAGCATGTCCAATTGTCCATCTTAAGCGGTATTTTAACAATTCCAAATTGTATCGATTAATCGGTCCAGACCGAAAATAAGCACTCGTTGGCCGAGTCAGCGAACTCCTAGGCACTTACAAACAGTAAGCGAGATAAACAGTTAAGAAAGACGGAAAATCAAAGCAGCAATAACAATATTGCAATCTTGGGAGCACGAGGAAGGATATCTACCGCTAGCAGCTGTCTCACTGCCGGGGACCCCAGCTTACAAGTTTCAGATTGAAGTAGTTTGATGGAACTACACACACAACTTGGTACTTGGGCTAATGATAGACGGTTAGACATTATACCACCATATACTACTATATATACTACTTCTACAAATTATCACACTTATCAATCGTTCTCACACTGACTGCATCTATTGCACCGACGGTAATGGTACGAATCCTGTTCTGGACGTGCGCTATGATTGTCCTTAGACGAAAAGACAAACGCCAAGGAATCTGTCGGTTTTTCATGTGTTTGAAAAGAAATCTCTTCAGTATCAGGCCTCACTGCCCCTCCTGTTTCGCAACCTAGTATTACAAACATCAGACTTATCACACAAAATCGGACGGGATAGCACTGCTGTGGATATATTGGAGGAACGAAAAAATGAATGTTGACAGCTCAAAAATGCTTGACCAAGCACAGGTGGTGTAATTCTCAGAGCAAGCCGAAAGCAACCATATGGGATAATTTTGGCTTAACAACTTAGACTCAGTATCACACCAAAAGTAATCAATTGCGTTTCAAGATACAGAAAGTAACAGAATGAAATTTTGTTGTACGCTTTTCAGAAACTCTAATGTAACTTTTCACTCAGTGTCAATATGACTCTTCATATCTTGTCATCATGAAGATGGGCTTGTAATCAGTCATCAGGTTTTTTATCGAAATGACATACCAGGCCCATGAGCAGTCGCGTCGTCCGACGGTGGCTGGTTCAGCGCACTATCTCCATCGGATTGCGGAGGCCACAGTAATCTGTCCGGATCCGAGTTCAGGGTTTGCGCATTAGAAGGTTCAATAGGCGGGGGTAACGACAGCGAGACTGGTTGAATCCAAAGAGATTGATAGCACGTCTTATTCACTTTGTACTGTACTGTGTCGGAGGAAAACAGTTCTTCATTCGGCTGCAGACGCAAAAAAGGCAGGGTAGTATCTGAGCAATCCTGTAACAAGTGGTTAGAAGAACAATTCAGGGGGAAATTCATGATAGTCTACAATAAGGTTTTCCGATTTGAGTACAAGGATTAATGGAGGGGGTTCCGCCTGGTTATGGGAGCGTAAATAAACTCAACGAGAACGCAAATCCAGAATTGGAAGACAAAGAGCTCGCCATCCTGCCAAAAAATCAGTATGCCACTTATTTTACCGTGGCAAATAATGAAAGGTATCAGGAAGGTCAGAGTCCTGAAAGTAAACTCAGAAAGCCCGGAACCTACTGCTCCACCGAAAACTCAACAGCAAAGCCTGCAAGCATCCAGCCCAGTCAATCATTCAATCAATTCAACAAAAGCCGATTAGTGCTCATGCACGCCACAAAAGCACGACCGAATGTGATCAGCGTTCGGGGTTTTCACGGAGGCACGATCGATGTTGACGGGTGTTCACTAACACCTATCAGACAGCCTGGATCAAGGTCAGAAAGTCCCCTTTAAATAGCGTGGGACCGTTATGACTTTTGCCCTCGCACTCGCTTGTTGGGAATGCAGCTGTTGTGTTCCCTTCTGTGAGTCTTTTTTCAGGCACTGGTCAGTGGAGCGGATCAGCAGCAGACACATTGTCACATCATTGTCACATCGCATGGTGTATTCAAATACTTGCTGTATTGGGCAAAATTCAACGGTGCCAAACAGTGCTGAAACTTCCAAAGTTGAACAAGAGATCCATTTTGTTGAAGTTTCACTATAATCCAATTCTTTATTCAGTAGAATCGCGATCAATATTCCTATCCCAAGATCACGGGCTTGAAACAGATTTTCTTACGTAGTGTATGCACGAACTTAAACAGTTGCTGGTTTTCCATTCCCTAAACTTGGCAATCTGTTGCAAACTTTCCGTCACCAGCCGAGGTTTGTAGTGGATTTGTGTTGCATCTCTGTGGGGACGATCAGCGCAGCATTACTTGTGTTTATATAGGTCCGGTTGGCCGGGGTGACTTTTGACAGTGACTGGCTCTTCGAAAGATTGATCGTGTTAGCAGGCTAGTTGGCCTGTCCTCGGCGGGCCACGTGTGCCGGCCGATCAGTATGTCCTTTGCTCGAAGTGTTTCGTTGATTGTTTCAGATTCTGTATCGGTTTGCTGAACTTGTTACTGACTGCGGTGCTTCCAGGACCTCTTTTGGTTGTCCTGTCTTTCCATATTCCAAGACCTCTACCTATTCTAAGCGGATTTTATACCCCTGTCGACCTTCGTGTATGGAGAATGTGAATGACGGATCGTGTTTTCTATGGCAGCATTATGTTCCTCAAGCCATGTTTGTTCAAGCCTCCGGTTTATCCAGTATGCTGGAATCTACGCAGTTGGTTGGGAACGTTCGGCCATCGGTCTTGTTCTTCGGTCTGAGAACTAGTTCTTTTCAAGGTGGAATTTGGTTTTCGAGATATTTGCGTCTATTTTGGTTACATTAGTCTGGCTATGAGTTCAGATATATTTCTGAAGTTCTTGTTGTTGCTGTCGGATTTTTTCCTTCCACTCTCCCTCTGACAAAATTCCATGGGTGGCCATTGTTTCGAAATAGCCTATGTAGGTGGTCTTCCTTCTTGGTTGCGCTCAGTCGGATAGAGTTTAAATGCGAATATACACTAATTTGTAAATTACCTTGGTTTTTTGAGAAACTCACCTGGAACCCAGCTGAATCTCTCGTTTGTGATGTTTCCAGGCAACTGAATGTGCTGCACCAGGCCACCTCATGTTTAAATGCAACTTTCCGTGATTCTTTAGATGGTCACCAGGCTGGCTTATTAGCTGGTATGCTGAACCCAATTTTGAGTATTCCCGTCTTTAGTTCCACCAGCGAGTAGATTCAACAACGGGAATTGCTTTTCCTCTTCAAGATCAGTTGTAAACTTGATATCTTCGGATGTAGTGTCGTGAATTTATGTATTCTTGTCTGTTTCGTAGTGAAGAGAATATCGCCCTCCTAGCTGCATCAGAGTCGGGGTTCGACTGTCGGC